TTACACTCCGCTTTGCCTGTCCCTCCTGTTCCTGTCACCAAGGCATTTAGACGTGTTTCCATCTATTCTGCAGAGAGACCTGCTGTGGACAGACGCGTCCGCCCACCGGGGACGACCCACCTTTACACGTGCCTTAGCCCCGCTGCACTCCCGGCTGGGACCCCCCCGAGGTAAGCCCCACCTGACCCCCCTCCGGCACCCAAACTCCCTCCCATTGCCTATATCCCACACCCCTTCCACACCCCAACTCCATCCCTGAGCCAGCACCCTGCCCCCCCCCCCGCACCCAAACCCCTATGCCAGCCCTGAGCCCCCTTCCAGCGCCCAAACTCCCTCCCGGAGCCTGAACTCCACATCCCCACCTGCACCCCAACCACCTTCCCCACGCTCGCCCCGTAGCTTGCACCCTCTCTCACACCACAACCCCCTGCCTCAGCCTGGGGAAAGTGAGTGTGGGTGGGAGAGAGCAAGCGACGGAGGGAGAGGGATGCAGTGGGTGCAGCGGGGCTTCAGAGAAGGGGCGGGGAAGGGTGTTTGGGTTTGTGTGATTAGATAGTTGGCAACCCTAGGGAAGAGACACCTGGCCCCTAGCAGCCCTGCTCACCCACTCCCCAGCCTGGCTCTGGTGCAGATAAGTGTAATTCTGGCCTGGCCCTGGAGTGACCCCTGCTCCGCTACCAGAGCCAGACATGGGTATGCTGGTGGCTGTGGCTCTGAGACAGGGCCGGCTCCAGGCACCAGCCCACCAAGTATATGCTTGGGGTGGTGCCTGGAGGGGGGTGGTGCGGCGGGGCGCTCCGGCCCAAGAGCTGGGCCGTGACTGGGCTCGTCGCCCTCCCCGCAGCGCTCCGGCTGGTCGGGGACAGCGAAGCTGCAGCGGGCTCACCGCCCTCCCCCCGGCGCTCCGGCCGGTCGGGGAGAGCGGGGCCCCGGCCAGGCTCACTGCCCTCTCCCCGGTGCTCCGGCGGTCAGGGAGAGCGGAGAACCACGGTGGGCTTGCCACCCTCCCGCCAGCGCTCTGTCCGCCGGGGAGAGCGGAGAGCCCCGGCCGGGATCGCTGCCCGCCTCCCGGAGCTCTGTCCGCCGGGGGCTCTCCATCCTACTCCCGGCGCTCTGTCCTCCGGGGGCTCTCCGCCCTACTCCCGGCGCTCTGGCCACCGGGGAGAGAGGAGCCACGGCGGGCTCGCCGCCCTTTCCCTGGCTCTCTGGCCGGTCGGGGATTGCGGGCCCGTGGCTGGGCTCGGCGCCCTCCCCTGCCGCGCTAGAGGGGGCAGGGGGCCGGCGGGTGGCTTTTTTACTTAGGACGGCAAAAAAGCCAGAGCCGACCCTGCTCTGAGACAACCGGGAACACCCCAGTGGATACACAGGCTGGGCTGTGGGGAGGTCAGGGCCTTGAAGCTGAGCCCTCCCTGGCTAGGGTTGAGACCTAGAGGGACCCCGTCCACGGGAGCAAGGGGGGCTGGCTCACCGTCCCAGACCAGTTCCCAGCTCGCTGTCCCCTCGGGCAAGACCTCTGCCTGTGTTACCCCAGACCCTGCTTAGCCCCCCCAGCTGCCCCCTCCGTGCCCCCCACGGCAGGACCCACCTTGGCAAAGGGTCGTGTTCCCGTCGGAGGGGACGTAGCCGGCCCGGCACTTACACCAGTAGCTTCCGTAGGTGTTGATACACGTGGCCTTAGGGCCGCAGATACCTGGGGTCTTGCGGCACTCGTCGATGTCTGAGAGGGGAAAGGGGGGAGGAGGGTGTCACACACAGCACGGGTGGGGGCACACGGGGGGTGAATGACCATGGAGATCCTGGGTAAGCTCAGTGGCCGTGCATTAACAGCATCGCCAACGCCAAGCAATCAATGTTTGACAGTTTTCCCTCTGCCATGTGGACCAGGCCCTAATTTTGATTTTAGCCAAAAGCGGAATCACGTGACTCTGGGAGGTGGGGCTGTAAGGAAATGCCAGTGACACTGCTGGGGGATAATCCAGGCGTCCAACATGCACCGTGCTCCGGGGAGACGGGGCTGGTTAGAGCCAGGAGTTCAGTTACTGGGTCAGTGAATGGGAGCGAGTTGGCTATTGTCTGGAATGAGCCGCACCAGCTGGGAAGGGAAAAGCAGCCCTGCCATCAAGCAGATCTGGCGATGCCCAGTGCCGCAATATACCAGTGCAGACGGCAATGCCTGAATGAGCCGTCTGCCCCGGAAGGGACAAATGGGGAGCTGCTTTGGAGGAAGGGGATAGAAAATAACATGAGGGCTAGTCTAATGCCTGGAGATCAGTCAGTGATAGAAGGGGCGCCAAGCGCTCGGTTCTCGGTGGTGCAGCCAGAGCTCTCCCCTCCCTCAGGCACACGGGTGTCCCACGGCTTCCAAACTCGCTCTGAGCTGCAGGGAGCTCTGAGATTGGGTGTCTCTAGGGGTTTAAGTCCATGGGGAAATTGACAGGAACAGCTCCTGTGGAATCGCTCCCCATCCGGACACTCTGGTCTGGAATAATCAGTGCGCTTCCAAAGAGAACAGCGATCGCCATCAATTCCCCCCGGGGGACAAGCCCTAGGGATTCTCCGCACGGCTCCCGATACCAGCTATCCCCGGACAATCCCCGGGACGCTGGCTGAGATACCTGCGGCGCTGATTTCTTCTCGTGCCTAGACCCGCCCCAGGACACTGGCTGGGGTTATCCCACGCGGCCGGGGGCTGGGCGCAGGAACGGCTGGGCGAGGTCTCTGCCAGGGGAAGCGTTTGAACCAATGGGCTCCTGAGTTCTCCCAGTTCGATGGGCCTGGTGCTCTGCCCCCCCCAAACGGGGTGTAAAGGGCGGTTTCCCTGGGAACGGCAAAAAAGCCAGAGCCGGCCCTGCTCTGAGACAACCGGGAACACCCCAGTGGATACACAGGCTGGGCTGTCAGGAGGTCAGGGACTTGAAGCTGAGCCCTTCCTGGCTAGGGTTGAGACCCAGAGGGACCCCGTCCATGGGGGGCAGGGGGGCTAGCGCACCGTCCCAGACCAGTTTCCAGTTCACTGTCCCCTCGGGCAAGACCTCTGCCTGTGTAACCCCAGACCCTGCTTAGCCCCCCCGGCTGCTCCCTCCGTGCCCCCCACGGCAGGACCCACCTTGGCACAGGGTTGAGTTCCTGTTGGAGGGGACGTAGCCGGCCCGGCACTCACACCAGTAGCTTCCGTAGGTGTTGATACACCTGGCCTTAGGGCCGCAGATACCTGGGGTCTTGCGGCACTCGTCGATGTCTGAGAGGGGAAAGGGGGGAGGAGGGTGTCACACACAGTACGGGGTGGGGGCACATGGGGGGGTGAATGACCATGGAGATCCTGGGTAAGCTCAGTGGCCGTGCATTAACAGCATCGCCAACGCCAAGCAATCAATAAAAGCCACAAACCCTGAGCCAGGCTGCAAAAAAGTCACAAAATTGGCTTTGTTTTGTTTGACTCTGGTTTGGGAGCTGTCGGTCACCCCAGCGTAATGTTTGGCAGTTTTCCCTCTGCCATGTGGACCAGGCCCTAATTTTGATTTTAGCCAAAAGCGGAATCACGTGACTCTGGGAGGTGGGGCTGTAAGGAAACGCCGCACATTAACAGCACTGCAGAAAAGCCAGAAACATCATGCCTTTGACACGACTGTTTCCAACTCCCGTTGTACCTGTGCAGATCTGAGACGGATCCTTTTGACTCTTCCCAAATCCCTCACTGCATTTACACATGTAACTCCCTGGCATGTTGATGCAGTTCCCGTGGGGCTCACAGATTCTGGCGTTTCGCTGGCACTCGTCAATGTCTGCAAGGAGAGAGAAAGCGCTAGGTCAGGCTGACCTAGGAGCTGTACCTTGGGCACTGGGGTGATGCTGCTGGGGGATAATCCAGGCGTCCAACATGCACCGTGCTCCGGGGAGACGGGGCTGGTTAGAGCCAGGAGTTCAGTGACTGGGTCAGTGAACGGGAGCAAGTTGGCTATTGTCTGGAATGAGCCGCTCCAGCTGGGAAGGGAAAAGCAGCCCTGCCATAAAGCGGATCTGGCGATGCCCAGTGCCGCAATATGAGTGCAGATGGCAATGCCTGAATGAGCCGTCTGCCCCGGAAGGGACAAATGGGGAGCTGCTTTGGAGGAAGGGGATAGAAAATAACATGAGGGCTAGTCTAATGCCTGGAGATCAGTCAGTGATAGACAGGGCGCCAAGCGCTCGGTTCGCGGTGGTGCAGCCAGAGCTCTCCCCTCTCTCGGGCACACGGGTGTCCCGCGGCTTCCAAACTCGCTCTGAGCTGCAGGGAGCTCTGAGATTGGGTGTCTCTAGGAGTTTAAGTAGATGGGGAAATTGACGGGAACAGCTCCTGTGGAATCGCTCCCCATCCGGACACTCTGGTCTGGAATAATCAGTGCGCTTCGAATAAACAGCGATCGCGATCAATTCCCCGCGGGGGCAAGCTCTAGGGATTCTCCCCACGGCTCCCGATACCAGCTATCCCCGGACAATCCCCGGGGCACTGGCTGAGATACCTGCGGTGCTGATTTCTTCTTGTGCCTAGACCCGCCCCAGGACACTGGCTGGGGTTATCCCACACGGCCGGAGGCTGGGCGCAGGAACGGCTGGGCGAGGTCTCTGCCAGGGGAAGCGTTTGAACCAATGGGCTCCTGAGTTCTCCCAGTTCGACGGGCCTGGTGCTCTGCGCCCCCCAAATGGGGATGCAAAGGGCGGTTTCCATGGGAACGGTCGGCTAGGACTTGATACAAGCTCCAACTACTGACTGAACGTCGCAAACAAGGGCCTGGAACGTCCCGGCCCCTTCTCCGGTCAGGCCGCCCTGGCTGCCTAAGGGGGCATAATGGCCCCCTGGGGAAACACCCTCCCATCCAGGGGGCTCCCTGTCAGTGTGGGGTGGAACAGGCTCTGCTCCCAGCCCTGAGGGAGGGGGCAGATTGGGGGCGTGGCCGGGGTGCCGTGCGCTGGGGCTATTCCCTGCTCCCCAGGCCCATAGGGGGCAGAGCACACTGTGCTGTATGTGGACCATCCACGAGGCCCCTTCCCAGGCTCGGGGGCACTAGCAGCCTCTGGTGCAGCGCCAGACCTGGAATGACCATTTCTGTGTGCGAGGGGGGGTCTCAGCAGGTGGGGTCAGGGGAAAGCTCACCCTGGCAGGTGTTCTCACTCGCGTGTGTGAAATTGGCTTTCCCAGAGCTGGGCTCGTAGCCAGGGATGCAGGTGCAGGAGTAACTCCCAGGCACATTGGTGCAGTTTGCGTGGGGTCCACAGTCTGCCGGGTTCGGGCCCTGACACTCGTCTATATCTGCAGCACAAGAGGGGATGTTCTGTACAGTCCTGGCAGGGAGACGTTCCTGTATCACCCACCTGTGCTGAGCTGGGTGACGGGACCCAGGTGACCAGGCCTCTGAGAGCTTAACAATCACAGGCCTGATTCTCAGCTACACTCAGGCCACACTTGGCTGCTCTGGCAGCGGAACGGCCACTCGAGAATATGGTGTATTGAAAACTGTGTTAGCATCACAAGCTCTCACTTTACATCTGCAAGGGGCTTTCCTGGACCTCCTTGCGGGCGAGGGGGCTTGGGTGACAAGCATGTGATCTGGGGTTTTCAGCCGTGTGTCTGCCAAACAGCCCAGCCTAGAGCAAAGTGGGGTTAGTTGTGCCCATCAGACTTCAGGAGCAGCCTGCTTTGTCTCTCTCTGTTCGGGGTCCTCGTGTGCTGGGGTTCTGGATTCTAAGAATAACCCTGTGTTGAGCTGCAGCCTGCCAGCGAGAGGATGTGATGCTTTGTTTCTAACTGTGTGTGTGTGCCGTGAACATAACATAGGGAAGGGGACCTTCCGATCCCAGAGTAGCCACTGTGGCCTCTATGGGCCAAGCCCCTCTGGGGCCAAGATTTGGGAGTCCATGTGTGAAGCTGAGTTGCCCAAGGGGTGGGAACACGGGGACTTGGCAGAAATCCCCCTCAGGGTCCAATCACAGAGGAACACACAGGCTTTGCCAGCTTGGGTCAACCCCAAGGCCCATCTTCCCCGGTATCCTGTCTGTGACGGGTGCTATGGAGGAAGCTGTAAGTGACCTGCAGCAGCAGCAAGAGGATAATCTGTCCCCATGAAGGTCTCGTTCTGATCTCTAATAGTCAGAGGGCGGCTGAAGCCCTGAAGTGGGAGCTTTTCCCTCCCTCCCAGAATTATTGTCCATTAACTAGCACAGCTCCAGGCATTGTCGTTCCACAGAGAAAAAGCCAGTCCCTCTTTAAAACTCGACACGTTCACAGCCTCCAGGCCACAGTAACAGTGAGTTCCAGAGGCTACTGCTGCCTTGGGTGGAGGAGTATTTCCTTCTATCTGCTTTGAATTTGCCCCTTTTCAATTCAATTCAATCCATGCTGCTGGAAACCAGGGTGTCTAAGGGAAGCCTCGGGCTGGGCTGGCAATGCCAATCACAGCACATGCCCCCTCCCAGCGCTGCCCTGGGGGAGCGACATGGAGCTGGAGCAGAGAGAGCCTGGAGCAGGGGCCTGGTACAAAG